TGATGTATGCATGTTTGAATGTACACGTGTGTGTGTGTATGTGTGTGTGCGCGCGTGTGTTTGCGGGTGTGCACGTGTGTTGCATATGTGGAGACGTGCGCGTGTATATATGCATATATATACACATGCACGGAACATGCACACACACACACACACACACACACACACATACATACAGAGTCTCCTTGAATAAATATTTGATGTACTGATTCAGAACCTTGTTTACGAGATATGAATTTTATATTGTAGATAATAATACTCTGACAAGCAAAGGTGATACTATTTATTTTGTTTCTGGAATTAAGAGACCATCATACAGAATTGTATAAGAATTGTATAGTGTTCAGTAACACTTGAATATATTGAAAAAGTGGTTATATCAGTGATATATATTGAAATATATGGTAATTATTTGAGCATCTCCTGTGAATCATATACAACATGAAAGAACACAAAATCCGCTATATCTTGTAAACAGGGTGAAATAGGACATATGTTTATATAAATCTTTTTCACTGTCTTCAGGTGCTGAATCAGTACATTAGGTATTTCCTACATATTCAGGGGCATCCTGTATATATGTACACACACACATACACGCGCGCGCGCGCGCACATACATGCGCATATATACATGTACATATACATACATAAATACATACATGCATTCATGGGTGCTGCCTAGTATATAAAGCTGCTAAAACAAACTATCCTTTAAGGTAGTCCAAAATGAAGGTCATATAAAAACGTACATGGTTTGGTTGTTATATGTTTACAGTGGCAATTGACCTTATAGTGCATCATATCTGGGACATTTTGCGTTTGAAAAAGGCTGAAAACTCATCTGGGCAGCATCCATACATCTACCAACATAGGCGTACTTCGACTTCATGCGACACGTTCAACACATGATTTTACATGATATGCACATTTATAAGCACTACACTTTTATATACCTTAATTGATGTAGGACCGAGTTTGCAGTAATCTTAAATTTTTTTTTTCTAAATACATTATTTACGATAAAAAAACTTTCATATATTTATATAATTGTATTTGTACATTTATACTAATCAGTATAACATGTATACTAACCAGCAAATAATATTGCTTCTAGTATGTATGCATCTATTAAACCCTTAATTGGGTAAAATTAATTTTTCACTGTTCCTAAAGCTTGGACATAGTACAAGAGTATATGAACTACTTTGTCCAGGCACTATAATTCCAATATTGCATAATTATCCAAGTTTACACATAAGATTAATCTATGTCAAAAGAACATAAATATTATTTATAGTCAAGAATTTTTATGAATATATACATAAATGTATGCAATTGTGCATGTTTTCAAAATTTAGATTTTTTTTATATATTTCTAAATTAATTATGTGTTTTATGCTAATGTTTTATCAGTGTAATAATATAAAACGAAGTTGTATATAAAACAATTTATGTGAGTATAAAATGTACAATATTAGCATAATTCTTAAAAATGTGATATTTTGAATTTAAATTAGTACATTATTTGCATATTGTCATATTCAAAGACATTTAATTATATTATTTAGTGTGGTGCTAATCTTTTTATTCTGTATTTTTACTTTTTAGATACTCTAAATCATTTTATTGCTAATAAAATTGTAATTATTATATAAAAAAATTATAATTTGAATTATGTAATTTGATAAATCGTTTATTTATGCTGTATAAACAAAATAATAATAAAGAAATCAAGTTCCCTACCATTACAAAGTTACCTTTAGTCATTTATATGTATTTTATATTTTGTTGCAGTGGCAATAGATTTGATAGTACAACATATAAGAGACTTATTAAACAACAGAGGTACAATTACAGTCCAAAGTGAAAGTTCAATAAACAGAACTGAAAAATTGTCCAAGAGGCCACATTAATTTTTAATGTTGCAAAGATTAGTGAAAAATTAATTGAGTTCTATATTTGTTTTATTTTCAATAATCATATATTTTTTAATATTGCCGTTTTATTTAAAATTAGTGATATATCTAAAATGATTATATGTTACCTAAGAATATTGTAAGCTATGTTTAATTTGTTTTAGTATTATTTCTATACATAGAAATTGAAAGCTATATTAAAATTAAATAATAAGATATTACATGTTACAGTGTGAGAAAAAAATATATTTCTGAAAATTGAATTTGTAAAAAAAATAATGTAGCAATACTTAGATGTTATATTGCTATACTAAGTAGTAAAGTCTTTTAATGTAACATCAATTAGTATTAACAATTTGAACTAAAATTGTTTTTGCTGTTGCTATTTATATTTATTTATTGTATAATTATTATATACATTATATATTTAAATATTATGTAAAATACAAAATTAAAAAATGCTTAAATATAAAATATACTATTACTGTTATTATGTATATATTTAACATTAATTTATATAATATTAGTTATTGATAATAAAGTTCTAAATTCATACCATCGTGAATTTCATCTAAATTGTTAAGTTAAGAAAAAATTGTAATGTTAATAATTACCTTGTGTGAAAATATATTTTATTTAAAAGGATACAATCTTGTAATTTTATGTGATCCTTAAATATAGTGTACCATTTTTTTAGAACAATTTTTTCCCAATGAGTTCCAGTTTGAGCGGCTATTAATTTTTTTAAATCGCCTATTGTGTCATCTGGATTACATTTAACTCTAACTTTTTTTCCAAGACGATCATTGCATGTTATTTCTAGCATTTTCCACCTTGAAATATTGTTAAAATAAATACTTAATCAAGATGTATTATATCCACACATTATTTGCAAATAAAAACAATAAATATGATATCTAATTATAATAAAGAGATAAATTTTTTATTAATATTTATATTGTATCAATATTAAGGGACATATATTTACATTAATGAAGGATACATAACTAAAGTTAAATACATGTAATAATAATATAAAATAACCTTTAGATGCAAATTTAAATATGTCATTTATTTATTTAAATTCATTTTAATAAACACTATTTCAAAGACAATAATTTGATTTCGCATTTCTACCATAAAATTTTTGTTTTTACAGAAAGGTTATGAAACATCGATAACAAGGAATGTTCACAAACATTTGTCCTAAGTTTTTTTACGTTCATTTATATATCACATAAGAGTTCACATTAAATATTTTTAATATCTAAGTATAATATTTGTTATTTGCATATAAATATTAATATATCTACTTACAGCGTGATATTATATCAACGTTACTAACAAGTAAATTTATACTGATGTGTGATTCTATTAAAATAAAAACTTCTATTCAACTTGCTCGTAAACGATGTTCTAAATTATTATATATGTTTGAATATATCGACAATCAGTGTTACAAAATTCAAAATGTTAACTAAAATCGAGATAGTATAGTGTTATTGACAGCGTACCTTATTAATATTCATAACAACTAATATACCCTCTACAATAAGATATTATAAATTCACCGTGTGAAGTGATCTAAAAAAGAATAAAACAAAATGATAAAAATAAAAGAAAAAAATAAAAACAAAAAAAATACATTTACGTATTCTTAGTATCTTCTCCCATTACCGAATTCATATTCAACGATGGCGGATGCAGCAGATCTTCCCGGCGCTTCTTCCAATCAAAAAATGTCGTCAAAACTTTTAAGGCAAAAGGCACAGGAATTTTTAACTTCAAGAAGATATGCAAATAATTTAGTAGACATTATTTCTCAATGGGATGTAAGTACGAATTCTAAAATCATTTCAAATTGATAAATGTATCAACTTTTTAAGGTTATGTCATTTATTAAAATTCCTGATCACTCTATCAGGAATCCACTTCGTCCTGTCTACTTACAATAGAAACAATATTCGTCGAAGTTCTAAAAAGAGGTGACATGTATTTGGAACGTACCATATCCCTTACAATTTCAGGTATGTTCAAATATTTTAATATTTTCTGTTGTTTGACGATATTTGACATTATATATCTTTAAATTTTTTTATGAAAATCGTAAATTTTTACATATTGATACTTTGTGAAAATGTATTTTTAGACACAAAGTTTAAAATAATATTCTGGCCTAGAAGACTAATTTTTAAGCTTTTTTCTGCTTAAAAATGAAAAAAAAAGACCATAAAACTTTCTTACATGCATAGGAAACTATAATGCTATATTCTAACTGAATAGACGAAACGTTTTGTCGTACAACGACAAAATCATTGTTGGAACGGTCGACCAATAAGACAAAAAAACAAGCTTAGGAGTTTCTATAGTTTTGTGCAAATCAACAATAAGTGCGATGCGTATTTATCACATCGTATTTGTCGCTCGCATTATTTGAAATTAAAACAAGTTTGCTTCTTGTAGCATCGCACACACGACGTCTGAAACAACAATGAATAGTTTCACTGAACTATTGATTTATGAAATAAGAAAAAGGCCTGTTTTGTGGAACAAATGATCGGAAAATTATAAAAAAATATTCGAAGGTGGCAATACAGATGGTGAAATTCGTTGATTTGAATCCTGTCTTCATATATTTGTTGAACCGAATTGAATACTTTATTTTCTGTTTATTTTTTACTAAAAAGTAGTTTATATAAATATTTTCGTTAAGAAGTAGTAAATCTGATTTCGATAGAGACATCTTAAAAATTAATCATCAACTCAGTTGTAAATAAGAACCATGACCGTATATGAACACACGTTTTTTGTTGCACGAACGATATTTGTCTGAAATCTGAAATCGCTCAGATAGATGATAGGCGACATTCGATTAGTACATAGGGTAAGACTATCTTACATGATTTTTAAAATACATATTCACTACTATTTGAAGTATACAAATTATTTTTTTTTCATCAACTCGCCGAAGTTTTACACAGTGATCAATTTCTGTGACCTGAAATATGTTAAAAAGTAATTTTAAATAACTTCTTCCTTTGTACTGTTCAGCAATTTTTTATACTAGTGGAACTTTCCCTGCAACTTTGTAGATGAAAAAAGGATAGTTTAATAGTGTTTAGGTTCCGATCGTTTTATTTATAATAGCGTAAAAAGAAAATAGTATCTTGATTAGTATGAATATGATCATCGATTGAACCACGATAGATAAAAAACTTGAATAATTAAAAAAATATTTGCATTTTGAACTTTAAATATCGATTTTCTTGATTTTTATAAAATAGTAAAAAGTATGAAGTACTTGATATTTTTGAAAATCCACTATTTATGCGACAGCGATATGAAGTTTTAAGTTTTACGCACCAATTACGTGGAAATATAGTTATCTATGATTAATCTCAATTCAAGTAGTAATCCTTCCTCATATTTGAAAACACCTATTTCAGTCCAGTTTTCATTTTTTTGGTCTGTCCTAACTAGTTTAGTTATTTCAAATGACAGACACGTCAAACGAAGAATTTTCGTTTCATTTCGAAATTTCGCATACATTCTTGTTTGTTGACCAATATTCATACAAAGTGTTTGTAATACTCGTACTACATTATAAAATTCCTCAAATATATAACAGTATATACAATTGTTGGTCTTGATTGTATGTTTTTTTCTAAATTCAAGAATATTATTATTTTGTATCCCTACACCGAAACATATGTTTGATAATTCATCTATAGATAGATATACATAGATAAATTTGGTAGCCTTCAGAACCTTGTTGGCTAGAAGAGTTTGATTACCACTAAACTCATTCCCCTTATGGGAGAATATACTTGCTATTACATTGCGACGCTATGCTGCAGTTACGAAATGTACTCTTCAAATAGCTGTAACTCCGTTAATTTTACGAATTTAAATAAATCCCATTACGAACATATTTTCAATAAAATGAAAAAATTTTCAAATTTCTAGACCAGAATATAATCCCTTAAGTGTAAAAATGGAAAAAGAAATATATACTTTTCAGTAAAATATATATGCATTTTTGACAAGGTTGTCAAAAAGATCCCTGTTCATGAATTTTGAAAATTTTTAAATATATTATAAAGAATGATACTTTTAACAACTTTTTCTTGTGCAAAAATTGGCAATTAGTCTTAGTTTTCAAGATATTTGTGAAAAACTTTTATTTTTTATTTAAGCTTTACATTAAGTTTTCCTTATATATACACATCTGTAACAGCTGTATACATTAGCATGGTACCATCACTTACCTACTGGTTTAATCAACATGTTACAACAATTGACAACCAATATATATATATGTATTATATGCATTGTAGAATATTGAATGTTTTTCTAAATATCTCAAAAACTAAAATCAATTGCCTATTATATGTATAAAAAAAAGTTGTGAACAACTTTTGTTCTCACAAATTGATCTCATATTTCAAAAATAAACAAGATTCATCAATTGAGATGTCTTTGACAACTTTACCTTTTTTTTCATGTCATATATGCTTAAGAACATGAAATAGCTTTTCCATAAGATTTATGAAACAGAGCCAAGTCCTGAAGCAAGATACATCAACTGGTTGAGAAACTGTTATGAAGAAATATGGGAGAAGATACTTGCATCAATGGAAAAATGTCGACCCGCTATTCAATTACAAGCTCTCACTACTGCTATAAAACTTATGGCTGAGGAAGGTAAAAATCCACTGGAACCAATTAGTAACTCGGGATATTATTTTCCATTTCATCGGTTAAAACCCATTTTGATGAAGTTACTTTCACCGGAGAAGGACAATACCAGTTTAATATCTAGATTTCAAGAAATTATAGAGTATCCTGATGCTCTTTATTACACATGGAAATGTCTTCCATCTCTTACTTCAAAAAGACAACCACATGAAATTTATATTAAAAATTTGCTTGAACTTATACATAAATTATCACTGCCAAAGGAAATTGAAGGTATAGATTAAATAGACTAAATATAATTTTATCATTTTTTTTTTTAAACTGATAACTAACATTAAATTCTAATCATGTTTTAGAAAATGAGATGTCTGAAAATAAGAATTTATTGTGCAAACCACAGCAAGGTAATAAAAATATATTTTCTATATTTTATTTTATACATAAGTTAATTATAATTTTTTATATATTTCATTTTTTTTTTTTTTTATTAGCTACTAAGAATTTTATATGGGATCAAGCTGGAGCAAGACGTGCATTGAATAAAGTCTGGGCTTGTGTCATGCATTGGGAATTGACACCACAATTACATAAACAATTATTAATAGTTCTTTTAGAAAGAGTTATGCCACATTTAGAAAAGCCTGTTTTACTAACAGATTTTCTTATGGATTCCTTGGATGCAGATGGGCCTATTGGCTTACTTGCATTACAAGGTGTATTTTTATTAGTTACTAAACATAATTTGGAATATCCTAATATTTTTACCAAACTTTATTCTATGTTTGAACCAGAAATTTTTCACACTAAATACAAAGCACGTTTGTTTTATTTATCCGATCTTTTCCTCAGTTCAACGTAAGTACTTAAAATAATTTTAAATTATTATAAATTATATTAAAATTATCGTCTATTCTTATTTTCTTTTCTTTTTTCTTTTTTTTTTTTTAGACACTTACCGGAAGCATTAGTCGCCGCCTTCGCAAAAAGACTCGCACGTTTAACCCTTGTAGCACCACCAGAAGATATTCTTATTATTTTACTTTTTGTTGGGAATCTTTTACTCAGGCACCCTGGCTTGAAACGCCTAATTGATCATCCACAAGGAGGAGAAGTTTCATCAGGAGAGAATAACGGTGCTGGAGACCCATTTTTAATGGAAGAACGAGATCCTTTATTAAGTAACGCTCTTCTTAGTAGTCTTTGGGAAATCAAAGCTTTACAGTGGCACATAGTGCCAAGTATCGCTAGTACTGCGCGTTTTATTCGTGAACCCCTCCCTTCTGTAGAATATGATATGGCATCGGCTTTAGAACGTACTGGAGGACATTTATTCGATAGTGAATTAAAAAATAAGGTTAAAGATATTATGTTGACGTTCGAGAGACCCAATTCGATGGCATTACCAAAAGGTGAAAGATTACTGCAATATTGGCAATTAACAACAATGCACTGACTGGCAATATTAAAATTATGCATTATATATGCATATTGTGCAATATGCATCGTTATTATAAAAGGAACTGTTTTTTTAATGAAAACGCAAAGAAAATGATGCTGAACTTCATGCGTTTTTTTATACGTTAAAAAAGGTAGTACGAAAATATTGCATACTTTTGTATTATTTAAAGTCTAAAAATAATTGCAACGGAATTGATTCAGAGTACATTATTTCACGAGCAACATGTAGATATGTATTTTTAGATTTCCAATCATGCAGCTATCTAGCACAATAGGTACTCATGAATGCTACCAATTCTGTTAAATGAAGTCATTTGTATGCATGAATGTGTGATAATAAAATGAAAGATATTTTAATTTAATAGATCACCCGTGTTTCATTTATAATGCAGTGTTTACTTAATAGGTAAACATAAATGGACTTCATAATAAAATCGTATCATGGTACAATTTTATATTTCCAACCAGTATTGAAATAATTCCATACTTTACTATAATACATTTAAATAAGCGCTCCACTTGTAATTGCCGATTGTTATATATAAAAAATCTATGTACATACTTAGAAATATTTGATCTGAATACTTTCATATATATCGTCTATTTTCCAAAATCTGTAATACAAACAAAATTTATATAAAAGATTAATTTTTCTTCTTCTATTAGAATATGTATAAATATAGTAGAAACCACACAAACCCCAATTAATTGTCGCCATTCATCTTCATTCAACGTATGCTTTATTTTCACCAAAATATTTGCTGGAATCTCAGGAAATGTTGTTGATATATGTTCTTGTTGAGTTGGAATATACTCTACTTGCAAAAGCTCGGCTACTGTTGGTCGTGCTTTTGGGTTATGTTGAAGACATTTACGCATAACATCAATTAAAATTGGTGGTACCGGTATAATTTTATTACCATCTTCTGACGGTAAATTTGTTGGAAAAGGAATATTTAGTTTTGGATTAGTTATTGCATTCACCTTAGCCCATTGTGAACGAATATGATGAAATGGTGTATGACCATATACTAAACTATACAAAATACATCCTAAAGACCACACATCTGACTTAAAACTTATCTACAAAATAAATATATTTGTATTATTTTTTTAGATTTCAATTTTTATTACATGTAAGAAATCTATCTTCATACTTTATATTTAACATTTTGTGTAGGAGAACCTAAATTTCCACCAATATCCATTAAAGCTTCTGGACTAATATAATTTAAGGTTCCAATTGGGCAATTTTTTACAACAGATGTCATATCAGCATTCATACTAGAAGCAATCCCAAAATCTATAAGTTTCAGCCGTCCTCGTACTAATAAAAAATTTGCTGGTTTCAAATCTGAATGAATTACTCCTAAAAATGTACATATGTAAAATATAATCAATTATACCAAAGTATTTAATAAATAAATGATTTTTTTACGTTAAAATATTTACCGTTATCATGTATATGCTTAACAGCTATCAACATTTCTGTCCAATAATATAAAATCATTGTAAGAGAAATTTGTTTTTCCTGTGACATTGTTTTTAAAAGACGACTTAGATCAGTATCTCCCATTTCCATTACTACATAGACCATGGGATATTTAATTTCACTAAAACGAAAAACTTAAATGTAAATGTCAATATATATGTGTATATATAATACATATTTTTGTAAAATAATTTCTTACTAATCAAACATTTTAACAACACATGGTGCTTGTAATTTATGTAACATAGAAATTTCTTCTAAACAACCCTGTGCAGAGTCTTTGTCCAAACGATTAAGATAAACACATTTAATAGCACATAATTCAAGAGAAGCCAAGTCTTGTACTCTCAAAACCTCCGCACTCATACCCTGACCAAGTGTACCCAAAATTAAATACTCCTTTTCTTTAACAAAAAGAGTTCTAGATTGTCTAGATTTAGGAATATTAATTGGCACTGAAAATTGTACACTTGATGGATTATTTACAATTTTTTTTAATTCTTGCTGCTGATTTTTATTATTAGTCTCTGTATATTGATTCTGAGAATGATTGCACATTGATTTTAAGGTTTCTTTGTTGTCTTTAATACAATGTGGATCATGTCTATTATTTGATATTTGACTTATTTTTTCTTTGTCCAGCAATGCATTTTTTGTATTTGGATATTTATTTTCTTTCAATTTATCATTAATATCTGATTCCAGATGTACAACATTTTCTGACATTTCAAATACTTGTTTTGGCAAATCTGTTTTATTCAGATCTTTACATAATAATTTATTTTGAATTTTAGGTGATACTTCATTTACTTTAGGAGGCTGAGATCCATGTAATAGATGTTTATTAAAAGCATCATTTTTTGTACAACTTCCTGTATCTGCTAAAGGTCTTCTTACTTTATTCTCTGTATTCAAATATCTATAATTAAATATGTATTTAAGTAAGAGAAATTAGTCTTAAATATATAAATAATTTATAGTGCATTACATATATACCTTAGGGTTTCATGTTTTCCTATACTTGGTGTAAAATAAACAGAATGTTTTGGAGTTTGCACAGAATCTCTATAACTAATACTCTTATTTTCTAATGGAGTTTGTTTTATATTACTTTGAGACCAATGAGATGAAACTGTAGCTGGAGTCAATCCATGATTATTAGATACATCATTTTGTGGTGTTTGAATAATATTTTTACGAGAAAAAGATGGATCAGGATGTATAGAATTAACTGGTGCATGTTTTAAAGGAGTTTGTAATATCCATTGATCAGTAGAATTTATAGATGTTCCGCTATCTGATATTAATGATTTACTTGTAGAAGATACATTTTCATAATGAGCTTTTTCTTCATTTGTCATGGGTATTAATTCTAATGTTTCTCTTTTAATATTTACATTCTGCACATTATGCACTCCAGATTGTGATGTATTCTCAAAATGTTGAAATGTAGAAGCAATAGATTCACTATTATTTATTCTGCTCTGTTGTTCTACAAATTGATCTTGATTTATTTGGCCTTTAATGTCTGTGTTAATAATATCTTTATTTTTGTGTTCAATTTGTGAGAACATTTCTTGTGTATGAGTTTCAATATTTAATTGCATTTGATTTGATTGTTTACATGTTGCATTTTTTTCACTTGGCATATTGTGTTCATGTTCATAAAGTTCTGATTCTATTACAGGCTTATATTCAGCATCATTAATTAACACAGATTCTTCAGGTTTTGAAGAAACAATTATATGTGAAACCTTACAAGTTCCTTTTATCTCATTGTACACTGTTGTATGCAAGGATAATGAGTTATTTAAATCATCTTCGATATAATTATCTTGTAATAAAGGCTGAGGGTCATCAAAATCTGATTCAATCTCAGAATCTTGTGGTTTTTCTTCACTTTCATCATCATCACTTTCACAAAAATGTAATAACTCTTTCACCCGTATTGGTTGAAATTTTGGACGTGAATTAGTATGATTTTGAAAATTCATGCTATTTAACACGGATCTACTATTTGTAGATATATCTGACATTCTTTAAGAATTTTAATTAATTCGCACTAATAAAAAAATTAATAACTAAACAAAACAAAACAAAACAAAATAATTCCAACTATTTCCACTTTGTTGGTCTGAAAGCATTATCGTACTTATAATTATAAAAATCACTTGTATCGTAATAATCAATAAACACTTTTTAGATGCATTAATAAAAACGTAAAACACATGTCATTAAATATTAGCAGAAACACTTAAATTTGAAACACATATTTCTCAAAACATAATTGACTTTTGGGATTCTAGACTGTTTGGTTTATAACATAACGGCTTTTCGTTTACGTCATAGAATTCAAACCTTAAATCTGAATTTTGATTGGTTAATAGTAACAATGTTTTAACACGCAACTCTATAGATCTAGGGATATTTCTTAAAATCGTATTGGCACATTCGTGTAAATCGATTGCGAACATATTACTGAAATTACATATTAAAAGTTTTTTTATGAAATTAATATAATAAAATTAACATAAAAATAATATATTTTAATATGTGTACACAATGATATATTACAGTGTGTTATGTTATATTACAATGATTTGTATTTATAGTTGATAATAAATTCAGTGTACGATATATACTGATGAGACCTGGGGAATCGGTGGCTCATCTCATCTACACATATGCGTCACATCAAGTAGGTATGGTAGGGATATAAGATGTAAGTTTGCATATAATTCGGCAGTTAACGCGAAGCGGCGAGAGGAACCGTGGTGTAGGAGAGAGTAGCCCAATAATAGGGGAAACGATTGCTGAATAGAAGTAACGATAGGGATGTTCCCCAGGCCTGTACTAAATTGTTGAAAAAAAAATTATCGACTGTAACATAAAATACAATTCGTTTACTAATATATATATTCTTTTAACATTATAAATGCTTAAACTTTGAGAATAAATTTTACCTTATCGAAATTGTAAAAATCAATTGTTTCGAAGATTTTACAATAAAATTTTCAATTTCTAATTTGTCATTGAAATTGATTTATATACATTGTTGAAAATCGATATTGAAAATATGCAGTAACATATTTATATGAAATATTCAGATTATATAATAAAATGGAAAATGTCCTTTCTTATCTTTTAAATAAACTTTAATTTAATTTAAATATATTTGCTAAAAAAAATTACTAGATTTAAAAGTATATAACTTATTTGGTTTAATGCAAATAACAATTTTGAACACTTGTAATAATCGTAATAAAAAAAAAAATTATTATTAGTCATTTTATTTTACTATATTAAAATATGTACTGTTTATGTTAAATATATATTATATTCAGAAAGTTTCTAAAATTTTGTTTCTGGTCACTAAACAAAGCATATACGTTTTCGAAGAATTGCAATAGAAAACAAGATTTTTATAGAATAATATGCAGTCTTTACTTTTAAATTTGCTTTATACCATGTTAATCTGAGCTTAATATTTATTACGATAAATCACGTATAAATAAATTGCTTTTTCGCATCTTAATTAATATTTAAATTAAATTATATTTAACAAATTATCCATTCATGTTATTTTTGTCTGAAAAAACAATCAATATTCGCTACTACCAGTTCCTCTATTTCGAGATCGATCTTCATTTACGTTCTAGGAACTACTAGGTAGCAATCACAGAGATGCAAATATTTGAACAGATATATTTTATCTTAATTGTGATTTGCATCTTTACTCCAATAGTAATCATCTTAAGTATGGATTTCATTTTTTCATGTTTTAACTGACCAGACTTGATATAACCATAGAAGTACGATTTTCAATGAAAGAAAATTGTTACTAAAGCTGAAATAAAAATAAGCATGGCGCCTGGTGAACATTAATAGTTTAGTTTTTTCACTCTTTAATCTTTTCGGTATGCTATAAATACCATGGAAAAATCCGAAAAGTTTTGAGTGGCATATTTAAACTCTTAATTATACAATGACAAAACAAAACAATTGGTATTTCAGCGCCTTGCTAAGATGTGTAAAGATCAATATAAAAAATAATATTTTATTTAATCCTTAGGGACGAAATTAGGAATTGTATTTTGAGTAATGAAAAAATGTTCTAGACTATTTGCAATGTTCTTAACGTTTTCCATTATTGTAATTAGCAGTTCGCATTGGTGCTTTAAATGTTGATGCAGACTGTTGTTGAAACTGATATGCTAGAGGATGAATTTTAAAGCCATATAACCTGCAAAAACATTACCCTTTTATTTTACATAATTTTATTAAAAACGTAAATTTGCTATTGCATTAAAATTGAAACAAATTTTTATACAAATTTTGAAGTTCTTCAAAAAGGAAATTATTCTCTTATTTTAACTTACCTAGGTACAAATTGATTTGTTGCACGTTTGGGTCTATATTCTGGATGAACCATAAAAAGCATATGAGGAAATCCTGTTCCAAAATATGCTCCATCAGTATGATGATGTCGGGAGCTTTTCGGTGTATAAACATCCATACATTTAGGACAATAACTTTTAACCATTGCCTCTCCAGGAACATCACTAAGACCCAGAGGCAACATAGGTTGGGATTCACAATATACACGTGGACAGTGACCAAAGTCCCCAGCTTGATATTTTTCAATCATTTGAGCAATACCACGATTAGTAAGAATGTAACGTGCATGAATTAGCCCATAAAGTAATTCTGCTGCTTGTTCAGTTAATTCAGACGGATTTGTATGGCCATCTAATTCATCCTCTATGAAATACAAACGATCTTAAAAGTACTTTGATACTTTCTGACAAGGTGTAAATAATATATTTACCGGGTTCAAGATCAAGAATCATATCTAATGCTTGCCTATAATTTGGTACTTGCTCATTTAGTCCAGTTAAATTAAACTTGTCTTGAATGTAATCTTCATCCACCTGTGAAAACACTGTATTAAGAATTGTACATACATTGTCTAAAATATACAAAGCTATAGTTATAAAATTGTTAAATTCTGAAACTTAAACTCTTTAATATTGTATAGAAACAATGCTTTATAAAAGATTATAAATTAGACATGAAACTTGTTTTAGAAAATCAACAACTTCGAAATCGTTAACCTCAAAAAGGTAATACAGGTTAAAATACTTACAATTAAAATAAAGTATTATAGTAATAAGAGTACTTACCTCACAAAAAAATTCATTGCCTCTAAGATTGCAAAACCACGAAATCCAGGATACCTCCTCAGAACTGCTCATTTTCCTATAGATAAAAAAATGGAAGAAATATTTCCCTACCAGCCTACAGAGAAAAAATGATCACCGCGTTAAAACAGCGCAGGATTCGTATATAATGCGTAAAGGTACGTGCGCAAAAAAGTTCTCGAATCTCCGTATATTATGCACACGTACATACGACGTCAGTGCTTAGTGCACGCCTGGCAATTGGTTAGAAAGGCGCCAACGAAAGGCAAGGTATGGGGAGTACAGAGTGAGGGGAGCAAATGGAGTTTTCACTTTACTAGGCAAGATGATCGACGTTGCAGCCTGTCCGGCAGTTCACCTACGTTTTCGTGGTCATTGCTGCTTCGTCAACTGATTTTCAAACACGATGTACAGTCTGACACAGCCAGGAAGCACATTACTCAAGAAAAAACCTTGTAGAACGAATGAAAACCCAAAAATAAACAGCCTTTACGGCTTACCTTTTGGTGCTTTGATTAGCCACGGTTGCTCGTCCCAACGATGTAGATAGCGCTGCCGTACTTACTCTATCCGCCACCTTCCGGCTTCTTTTTATAAATTTTTCTTTTATTTAAGCGCCTCCAATTAGAAACTTTTTTTACATAGGGTTAATGAAATTATATTTTTTATTAAATGAGTATTAACATTTATAATAATGATTTTAAAGAAATTTTTTAATTTTCATAAATAATGTTTTGTCTACTTCATTGACCAATGAACAAACAATGTATTTTTAATATATTATTTTAATCAAAAATTTCCTGTTTTAGTATTATATTTAGTTAAAAACAATGTAGGTGTTAAATCACACCACTTTTCTGCTTCCCTTTTAACTTTGATAAAGACCTTTTTACAATCAAAATGAGCTAAAACCTATGCACATATTATATTAATATCACGTGATCAGTTTCCTAGCAACATTGAACATAAAGTTGATAAACTTACTAGATTAAAAAGTTTTTATGTTGTAATTATGTTTCAAATTCGATTATAGAATAATTATTCATATATATATATACATGTGCAGAGAGACATATATTCATCATATATACAATATGCGCACATGCGTGCTTGTGTGTGTATGGACATGTACATATATAAAAAGTGTATATGATTCATTAAAATTCTATTGAATATTGTATATTTCATTTATATACATTTTCAAAAACATAATGTCAGATTTAATTTAATGTTATTATTAGATTATTAGATATAATTAGATATAGTCAAACTAATAAACTATAATTGCTCATAGATAAAAATATAATTGTTTATAAAGTTAAAGATAAATTAGCTGTAAATAATGTACAGTTAAGTATTAATGAATAAGTGGGTGAGGCTAGGTGCTGTGTAGTATGTAGGAGACAATTGTACATGCAATTCTTATCAGTTTGAATAATTATTTTAATAATTTACTATATGTAGGAAAAGCAAGATTGTGGTACGTATAATCTAACCATGTTGTGTGATTATTCTATTACATATTAATTTGTTTAATTGTAGATGCATATGTGGTTTTGGTTTGGAAACAATTTAAATAATTTTCTTTTATCAGGATACAATGTTGTTACAATTACTAGTTTTCTATGTACTTGCTTAGGTTTATTTGCACTTGCAATATTGTATGAAGGTATGAAAGTTTTACAAAATAAATTACAGCAAAATACTATAATGTTTATTCAAAAACAAAACTCAAGAATATCTGAGAATTCTTGTTTACTATCAAAAATTTCTTCAGAATTAATTGGAAGACAAATTTCTTTACAATGGTATTATATTTCATAAATTATTAAACTATAAATCAAATGATTTTCATTATGAGTTGATATTATATATTATTTTATTAGCATACAATGTTCTACATGGAGTTTTCAAGTTTTTCATTGGTTTGTACATACATTTCTTGGTTATGTTCTAATGTTAGCTGTTATGACATTTAATGTATATATCAATATTGCTATTGTATTTGGAAGATGCCTTGGTTATTGGATATTTAGCCCAAAACTTATAGAATTTAATATGAAACGACTTCATGAAAAAGAAACATTATTAGACTGTGATAAAGAATGTGCAGGTAAGATCTTATAAGACATTTAAAAATATGTTGTATAAGACATTTATTACATACCTTATAATTAAAATTTTTTAGATAATATAATACATTGTCAAAGACATGGATCAACAACTTCTGCTATTACAGAACAATTAGTAACAGAAGCTACTGTTGAGATTCATATGTCAAGAGATGCTTGAATCAAGTAATTTTAATATAAAAAATAATTCATTTTTTACTTACTAACAAATAAAGTATTCTATATCATATACAGTATATAATAAAAAATTTTGTGGTAATTTTTATTATTGCAATTTATTGTCAATTAAGTACTGACAAACTTCTTTAAAATATTTTTTTATGAAATTACTAAAAGTTTGGAAAATTATGACAATATAGTGTCAATATTATTATGCTCTTTCTATATCGTAGTTAAACATCTTCTTCTTTGTAATCAAATAAACATCTATAGCAATTATTAGCAGGATTTACAAAATGCATATATGTATTTTCTGTTGTAATATGTATTCCACAAAACCAGTAAAATTTAGCTTCACCATAAATACATTCCATTTCATTATATTCAACAATCTTCACAATCATAATTGAACAATTTGGACACGATACAGTATATTTCTACAAATATTATTATTTTTATAATTGTTAATAAACTGTTTTTTATTACTTTAATACATATCTTTAAATATTTTTCTACAATTATTTGACACTACAATAAAGATACAATTAATTTATCCAATTTAATTACATTTTTCACATAAAACTATATCAAAATTATACTTTATGGCATAAACTACAAAAGCAATAATCAAATTTAGTATAGATGACTAATATATTACGCTCTCCAACAAATTTTAACTTTTTCTCTAATCTGTAATATCCGATAGATGATTCTCGCAGAGATTAATTTCCCGAACACGAATTCGTAATCGAGATTGCTTTATTACTCACAGTTTTCGAAAAATGTGCAATTTTAATCTAAAATGAAATTACAAGTTCGACGAGAGTATCCGGAGATTATTAATGTGCATAATTATAATTATTCGTACTTCTGAATAATTATAACTGGTCATAGAAGTTTAAAAATAAGCCTTCAAACAGTACTTTCTACGCATGTTCTTGAATTTTTATAAAAAGTACTTTATCTGATACGAATTTATTTACACAGTGACGTATTTTGTAGGCTATTTTGAAGAAGAAACCATCGAGGAACAATATTAGAATAATATTCAATATTGACAGAACGGTAAAATATATATCGGGAACCTGTACGCGGGATTTTGCCGCCACACAGCCATTGCTCGCATGTTCAATTTCATTAGGGTTGTGGTCACGCGTAATTGAGACAAAAATCATTCTCCAGTAGATTTCATTTTTTACATATATCACATATGTATATTCTCATGTATTCTTTTATATTAATCGTAAAATTATAAGAAATTTCTCAGAATCTCTTTTCATTTGAAACAGGTTTGTTATTCGATACATAAATACGAATGAATTTTTAATATAAAGTAATTAAAAAATAAACTCCCACCTAACTGGAATTAAGCTTATGTAGGCCTGACTAAACCCAAATTGAAAAAAAGGACAAGTAAATTTTTACTACTTTTTTGACATGTTTCAAATTGAAGTGCAATTGTAGGAAATTCATTGGTTATCAAATTTAATACTATATTTTAGTAATAGGCTAAAGTTATCATGCCAAGTTTGATGCTACAGTGAAGTGATTGGCTAGAACATTTCTAGTGTTATGGAATAGAGGGGAAGCTATTCAGACTGATTTGAATCATAATTAAAATCTAACCATTTCTATATTAAATATCGGAAATATTTGTTGAGTAATAAAATAAAGGTGTGTAGAGTATAACAAAATAACTCATTATAATTATAAAAAATATGGACAGTCAGTCTTATAGTGTTGCGTTGTATTTGTAAGCGGTACAATTTCCACCAATTCAAATAATTCCTGAACAAAATGCTGAATCAGAATGTAGCATCAAACCTGGCAACTCTTTGAATCGGTTAACAATGACTGTCGCTTTTTAGCTTATCATGCTGACAATCAATTTCTAATTCAAACTATAATCGTGTTTTTCAAAATATATGTACGGTCAATAATAACAAATAAAATGTAAGTTGTTTAATCTTTTTTATTTATTGTAAATATAAACAATTAAAATTTAGAATTATAATAATAATATGTTATTAATTTTATTTTCGCTTTTTAACCGTTACTAATTATGGTGTCATGAGAACAATGAATTAAAGTTTATGATTAAAAACTAATAAAGCACGAATTATATAATATTTAAGATAGTGATACATAATAGTAACAAAATAATTTATGCACGGAGAGAGGGTAAATCAAAATACATGAAAGATATAGGCCAAGTTAAGTCATCCATAAAATAAAAGTTGATTTAAACTAACAAATCATATTACAAGAATAAAATGGAAAGATTAGAAGCTAAACATGCTCTTCATAGCGGTATTTTCCATCCTGTTTTACGACAATGGCAATCACCGAATATTCTGATTACGGTTAATAATCTTATGTATCCAATCTTCATCGTGTAAGTGAAATTCATAATCTACCGCTTTTATTACTTAGGTATGTATCTATGAATATATCTGGTAATGTCTATATATTTTTTATGAAATACATGTATATTTTTATTTTCAAATAATAGATGAAATGAAAAGAACGGTTAGGTTAATTTGCTGTTCTTTGAAAATAATTTTGTCACTTATTACATAAGTATATAAAACAAGTATAAATGTGCAAATTGTGATTTTCTAAAATTTATATAAAAACAAGATATATTTTCACAGTGATGAACAAGATGCTAAAGAATCAATTGCTAGTATGCCAGGTATTTATCGGTATGGCATTAATCATTTACGAAAAATGTTACAACCACTGGTTTCCAAAGGATTACAATCAATATTATTATTTGGGGTATCAAAACACTTGAAAAAGGTAAATTTCTTATAACATAATGCTAATAATAAATTAGTTAAAAAATTATATTTTTAATAGGATCATATTGGAAGTAATGCAGATAGCATACAGAATCCCATTATCAAAGCTATACCACTAATAAGGGAATGGTTCCCAAATTTATTAATTGCATGTGATGTATGTTTATGTCCTTATACTAATCATGGACATTGTGGAATTTTAAATGAAGATGGAAGTATTAATAATAAAGCTAGTATTGTACGAATTTCTGAAATTGCTCTTGCATATGCAAAAGCTGGTAAGATCCATTAAAATATATATAAAATAATATATGAAGTAATATTAGATGCTATTAATATATTTATGAAGGAGCACACATTGTGGCACCATCTGACATGATGGATGGAAGAATAGGTGCAATAAAAAATAAATTTGCTGCAGCTGGATTAATGAATAAAGTTGCAGTTTTATCTTATGCCGCAAAATTTGCATCAGGGCTTTATGGACCTTTTAGAGCTGCTTCACAATCTGCACCTAAGTTTGGAGATAGAAAATGTTATCAGTTACCTCCAGGAAGTAATGGATTAGCTGCTAGAGCAGTTGTTAGCATTATTTTTCTTTCCTATCTTCTAATTTTTTACAATTTTGTGTTTTCTGTTAGTTTTTTGAAGATGAAAGATATATCTTTTTCTTTAGGCTAGAGATGTTTCTGAAGGAGCTGATATGCTTATAGTAAAACCAGGTCTGCCTTACTTGGATATTGTTAGACGTACAAAAGATGCACATCCAGAGTATCCAGTGGTCATATATCAAGTTTCAGGAGAATATGCTATGCTTTATCATGGTGCTCAAAATGGTGCAATAGATTTAGAAAATGTTTTAATGGAAGTTCTTTTATCAATGAGAAGAGCAGGAGCAGATTGTATTATAACATATTTTGCACCATTAATTTTAGATATATTGCAACCAAAAAGTAAATATTAATATTATTACTTACATGAATAAAATCATTTGGTGTGGTAAATAAAATAAATATATTTGCAAATTTACCTATTTATAATTTTAAAAGACCCTAAATGAAAAGATACAAAAATTTCATAATTAAAAATTTGAGCAAAGATATATTTTTTCATATTGTACTACATGCATATAGTTGAAATCATTATCTACACAAAAAGTTTGACCTTTATATTTTTAGATCTAGATAAGAAAATTATCAAAATCATGTATTTAATATGCATGAAATTTTATTATAATCTTTCTACACAATTATATGTCCTCTAAATTATTCGTTATTTAAAAAAATATTTGAAATAGGATTTACTTTATATCAATAACATCCTATTACGATCACAAGTGGTGACAAATTATATACTTCCTAAAAGAATTTAATAAATGTAAATATACGAATATGTATGGACATTGTATATAAAGAAGTCTAGTAGAATGTATATTAACAAACCAATAAAAAAATGTATACTATATTTTGTAATTATTAGAAAAAATATTTGTTTAATACGTAATAATGACAGTAAGCGAGATTACAAGTGAGATGAATATTCCCTTAACATTGATTCCTCCAATCGCAAGAGTACTCGAAATTTCCAGAAGTGCTGTGCGTGTGACGTGGGCCTATCGATAACAGCCAACTGTATGTAGTTCAGCCAACTAGCATGCGCCTTTCCTTTGGTGTGGATAGTTTGTGACCAATCAACGTAGGCCACGACGAAATCAGCTTGTTAAATATTCTGGTACTGAGATTGCTCTGTAGTCAGTCATTTCTGGTTATTCGTGTTGGTCGTTGAGGTTGTGCTCAGAATAACCAAATTTTTTACTTATAAATAAAAAAAACGTCGTGCACATTTATTTAATCTGGTAAGTAACAAATGTAATAGAGTATTATTTAATTAAAATAATATTAACAAATAGGAAACATGTTACATGTGAAACTTTGTATGATGTTAAAGATTACTTCATTATCTGCCACGTCTTGCTATAAAATTGCAGTTTATTTTTTATACTTCATTAAAACTTGAAGAATCCCATTTTAAATTTTCGTAAAATTCGTTGAGTCTATTATTATTGCTTACAGTTTTTATTTTAAGTGTTTCGTGTGATTAAGATGTTTTATGTACACAGATGTCCGTTTGCTTTTGTAGAAATTAAACGTTATATGAATGAATGATTTTATTTGTAATTTATTATCTTTGCTATGTATTATTTTATCAGTATTTAAAAATAATATTTCTATTCCATTTCCTTTAAAATTTTATAGTGTTCAATTTTTTAATTTATTAATTTTATACGACGATTTTCGTTAGCCTTGTATGTCATTACTAGAATTTTCCATGTGTCAAGAATTAACGTTGTTAATAATATTTTTGATTAAATAGTTTAAATATTTAAACTACAAATTTTAAAAAGTTTATATTTTTTTTTACAGAACAATATTTATAAGAAGAAAAATGAAAGGAGCTAAAGCTCTATTTTTATTAGGTTTAGTAACTTTTGTTTTTGCAAAAGAAGAGACACAGAAAGAAGATATTGGGACTGTCATTGGAATTGACTTAGGCACAACATATTCTTGGTAAATAAATTTAAATGATTTTTAATGATTTTAAACACATTGTTAATAATAAATTTAATTTATATTTTAAATTAAATTAAATATAG